CCCCTTTTCTCCACACCCTCTCCAGCATTTGTTGTTTGTAGATTTTCTGATGATGCCCATTCTAACTGATGTGAGGTGATACCTCATTGTAGTTTTGATTTGCATTTCTCTAATAATTAGTGATGTTGAGCAGCTTTTCACGTGCCTCTTGGCCATCTGTATGTCTTCTTTGGAGACAACTCTCAGCTCTTAAGCAGGAGACCCACATTTCCAAATGACTACTAGATATCTCCAAGTGAATATCTCAAAGACATTTACGCCCAAAACTGAACTTATCTTCTCTCCTACAAAAAACTGGCTTCTCCTCCTCCTCCCAACTTAGACTAAAGGTATCACTACTTGGAGTCATCTTTCATTCCTCCCACATCTAACTGATCTATAAATGCTTGTAATTCTATATTCCAAATTTCTTTCAAATTCATTCCTACTCTAAAAGCCGCTACCTTATTTCAGGTCTTAGTAAGTTTATTCACTTGACAAATAGTTACTGAGTATCCACTGTGTGTCAAGCATTATCTTAGATACAGGAAAATAATCATAAGCAAAACAGAAAGAGTTCTTGCCCACATGGAGCTTACACTCTAGTAGGGAAACAAGGCAATCAATGATCATATACATAATGTTCAACTGATTTAAAAAAAAAGAAGTACAGTGTCCTATAAAAGCGTTTAAAAAGTGGTCTGACCTTGTGTGTGGATAGATGGAACCCATCCTACCTAAGGGTTCCTCGGTTAAATGATGTTTGACTGATATCTGAAGGGCAACTAACAGTTAATTAGACAAAGGTATGGGGGATGGGGGTGGCAAGGGCACTGCAGCCAAAAGCATGTGTAAATGTTCTGAGCACTAAGGTAAAGAAAGGCAGTTGTGCACAGTGATTAAGGACAGGAATTCTGGAGACAGACTGCCTGGATTTGAGCCACCACTTATTACCTGCGCAACCTAGGGCAAGTTATCCAACCTCTCTGAGCTTCCATTTTTCCTCAGTTTTAAATGGGGACAACACAGGCATTTACCTTACTGTCTTAGAAGTATCATGAGAATTAAATCAATTAATGTATACAAACAGATTTGACCAGTGTTTGCCACATAGTAAATGCTATGTAAATGTTAGCAATTAATAAATAGCCATTCTGAGAAATGAAATAAAGCCACTGTAGCTGGAATGTGAGAAACTAAGCTGGAGAGATTGGCAGGGATATAACTAAAGGGTTTTAAGCAGGGGAGTGACTACTGTAATAAAAATCTAGCTGGTGACATTTCTTCCTCTCCAAACCCCATCCTTCTTACTGCCAAAAGAACACAAACTGGGAATTCCCTATAAGTCCAGTGGTTAGGACTCCACGCTTTCACTGCCAAGGGCCCGGGGTTTGATCCCTGGTGGGGGAACTAGGATCCCGCAAGCCATGCAGCAAAGAAAAAAACAAAACAAAACAAAACAAAAAACACAAACTGATCACATCAGCTCTCCTTTTCAATCTTCAAAGGTTCCCCACTTTCTGCCTACATGACAAAAACCGAACACCTTACACAACTTAGAAGTCTTTTTCAGTATCCCTCCAATATACCTCCAGTCGCACAGTTCACCTACTTTCCTTTCCAAACTATCTTCAAACACCAACATATATGCACTATATGCTTCAATATTACAATGTTTCACTGTTCGCAGCACTCTGAAACTAGTACACCCTTCCTGTTCTCTCCTCTGTAGTCCCTTTTCTCACACAGACTGGAAATCTGGTACTATTACAGTTCAGAGCATTTTCACCCACAATTCAGTCTCTCTTTCCAACTGTGTTGGAATGACTCCATTTCTACAAAATCTTCAGAAATTTGCAGTTGATGTGGATTTACATATCAATTCAGATAGATAATATTTTTCCTTCCTACTTCAAAGCCTGTTCCTTTCCTCTGAGATCCCATGCTAAAGCCCCAAATTCCCTTTATAAAAATGGAAAGTTTTTTTTTTTAAAAAAAGAGATAAACCCTAGGTCAACCCAAAAGTCAGGATCACACCATCAAGAGCAACAGTGGAACCAAACATTAACCGTCCTGGAAGTCAGAATCAAAGGCATGGGTTCTTAACCAGAGGTCCAGGGACTCCTCAGGGCTACAAGGTAATTTGATGAAGCCCCTCAAATCGCATGCAAAGTATGTGTACATGCCTTTTTCTGGGGAAAGGGTCCATATCTTTCATCAGAGTTTCAAAGATATCTGGGACCTCCAAAAGGTTAATAAGTGCTCTAGAGAAAAAGCAAAGACAAGCAAATATGATTAAAAGGATGAACCCTTTTTAGGCTGTCAGGAATGCCTCATGTTCTCTAAGACTACCTGAAATCAGGTCAGAGAACATTATCCAATCAAAATCAAATTTTTTTCTTTTTTTTAAATACACCTTTTCTTTTCTTTCTTTTTTTAAGATTAATTAGTTTTTATTTTTGGCTGCGTTGGGTCTTCGTTGCTGCGTAAGGGCTTTCACTGGTTGCAGCGAGCAGGGGCTACTCTTTGTTGCGGTGGCCAGGCTTCTCATTGTGGTGGCTTCTCTTGTTGCGGAGCACGGGCTCTAGGCACGCGGGCCTCAGTAGTTGTAGCACACGGGCTCAGTAGTTCTGGCTTGCGGGCTCTAGAGCGCAGGCTCAGTAGTTGTGGCACATGGGCTTAGTGGCTCCGCATCATGTGGGATCTTCCCGGACCAGGGATCGAACCCATGTCCCCTGCACTGGCAGGCAGATTTTCTTTTTTAAATACATTTTTATTTTATTTATTTTTATTTTTGGCTGCGTTGGGTCTTCGTTGCTGTGCGCAGGCTTTCTCTGGTTGCGGTGAGCGGGGGCTACTCTTCACTGCGGTGTGCAGGCTTCTCATTGCAGTGGCTTCTCTTATTGCGGAGCATGGGCTCTAGGCGTGAGGGCTTCAGCAGTTGTGGCACGCAGGCTCTAGAGCGCAGGCTCAGTAGTTATGACGAACGGGCTTAGTTGCTCCGCGGCACGTGGGATCTTCCCAGGCCAGAGTTCGAACCCGTGTCCCCTGCATTGGCAGGCGGATTCTTAACCACTGCGCCACCAGGGAAGCCCCAAAATCAAATTTAATATAGAACTGACAAATACAGATTTTTACGTAAGGTGGAACTCCATAAACCAACATAAAATCCATAAAGGCAATTCATAAGGCTGGTGACTTACTCTAGGGGTTTCAAAAATGGAACTAATAAGGGGACCTCCTTGGTGACACAGCGGTTGAGAGTCCGCCTGCCAGTGCAGGGGACACGGGTTTGATCCCTGGTCCGGGAAGATCCCACATGCCACAGAGCAACTAAGCCTGTGCGCCACAACTACTGAGCCCACATGTGCCACAACTACTGAACCCACGTGCTGCAACTACTGAAGCTTGCGCGCCTAGAGCCCATGCTCCACAACAAGAAAAGCCATCGCAATGAGATGCCCGCGCACTGCAACGAAGAGTAGCTCCCGCTCGCCACAACTAGAGAAAGCCCCCACGAAGCAACGAAGACCCAATGCAGCAATAAATAAATAAATAAATTTTTGGAACTAATAGGAAGAAAGTATTAGATCTTCTATTCATATTTCCTTTTTATCCCATTCATTCAAAAATTCCTTTTCTGTGTATATTTTATAACATACATAACACTATAGTAGTACATAATTTATACAAGTAAGCATACACATAATGGAGGTAGTTGCTCAACTTTTTCTACCTGTCATTCTATTAGTAGACCACTGATACAATCTACACATTTCAGCACCACCAAGTTAACAGTAACTCCAGGATAACACAAAACCCCACTAGTACAGCTTAGAATCCAAGAGCAAGAAACCTAGCAACTTTCACAGAAAGTCTAATTCGTGTCAACTAATAAGTGATTACAAGTACCTCTCTCTGCCCTTACTCTCCTTATACTTTTTTTTTTTTTTAAGCTCATCAAACTTTAAAGGATCAGTTTTCAGCCTGGTTTGTCAAAGGTTCCCGGGATGTGACCAAAACATGACCGAAACATGTGATGGGAAAACTACTTGTGAAACCACAAATGTACAACTAATCGAGATACCCTCTTAATTCATCCTAAAAGAAACTACTCTTTTCTTCCAGGAAAATAATAACCTAAACACGAAACATTTATTAAGATTCCCAAGACACAACTTAAACCGGCTTCTGTGATTGAGTGTCACCCAGTGGTGAGACCAAGAGATGCAGGGTCCGTCCGCGATAGAAAATGGGACAGAGATAACCCTAACCTTGGAAACGTTTTCCCAAAATATTACAGCCCTGAGTGACTTGTCTCTTGGGTGGTGGAGGGCAGGGTTGGGGGAAGGCTGACGGGCGGAGAAGGCTGGCGGAGCGTTGAGAGAACTCGAAAAACTTTTCAATCTGGGGTATCTGTGCCTTCACTACCTCTTAAGGTCTCCTAAACCTCAGGCCTCTAAGGGGAGGCCCATCTTCGGAGGGCTCTCCTCAGGTTTCCAAGTTTGTCCCGGGGGCGTCACCCCACCTAAAAAAAGGGAGGGGAAGCATTTTCTGGATCAAGTTTGAGACCTAGACAGACAGGAATACACGAAGCTGCCATCATCTGCCACCGTGAATCTCAGCTTTGGACAAGAGACTGGAAAGCATTAACCCAGGGAAGAAAAAGGGGTCCCGGGCCCGGCACGGGTCCAAGAGGAGGGGACCACTGACGTAATGCTGTCTGACGAGAAAGGAAAAGAGAGAACAGGTTGAAGGCACTTACACAACCCGATGGGGAAGTGGCGGACGACACCACAGTGGAGGAAGGAGCCGAATAACAAGTAAAGATACAGTAAAACCGTGAGGAGAAATGGGAAATTAGGGAAGGCGTAGTGGGGAAGAAGGGAGGCACAAAAGAACAGAACTACGGCGGGAGCCGGAAAACGAAGTGGAAGAGCCTGCAAGGAAAAGGCGCAAACCAGCCGGCAGAATTCAGTCTCCGTAAAAGTCCGACCCGGCCCTCCCCACCTTCACGGTACCTTCAGTTTATGGAGCTCCACCATTTCAGTCGCCATCTTGTTACCCCTTCACTCCGCTAGGCCCCCACCCGCTGCCTCCGCCTCCGCCTCCGCCTCCGGGAGCTCCCGCCTCGGCGCCGACAGCCACGGCCGGCCAATCGCTGTGGCTTTTACTCCCGCCTCCTACCATCAACTCTTTCTATTAGTCAATAGCTGGAGTCGCCCTCACTCCTTCAGGCGGCTTTCCCCACCTCTCTCAAAAGCTGGGACCTGGAGAAGGGCGGGTTCGGCACCTTCCGAAGGACGCAAATGGTGACCAATTGTGTGTCCCGGTGGCAGACCGCCAGCCAATGGGTGGTGGCGACGCTGACTCCGCTTCACCAATAGGGAGAGCGCAGATGGGCCGGGGCTGCTGCTTCCTGGAGACCGCAGGTGTAGAAGCAAGCGCCGCGCCGCCCCCCCAGCTGGACTGGCTTCCGAAGCTGGCAGGTAGGGTTACGGGAGACTGGGAAGCGGTACTAAGGAAAAATGGTGGGACGTGAAAGTGGGGTGCGGGGTGGAGCGGCGGCGAACGACAGACCGAGAGAGGGGCGAAGACGACAGCCCTGAGGGGAGCCGACGAAGGAGAGAGGGAGCCTAGGGGAGCAAGGGGCGTATTCAGCACTAGGGTTTAGGGAATTTTAGGTAGAGGGCGGGCCAGAGCTGCTTCCTAACCAGGCGTCATCAACTTTAGGGCGAGCACGATTTTAAAACGGCCAAGTTCCGACGATCAGAGCCGCCCTGGAGTCGGGACTAGGGCTCCATCTCCCGAGACGCTCAGTTCACGTCCCTTCCTAGTTCACATTCTTGCAGCACCCCACGCTGGAGAGGAATAATTAGGATGCTGCCTGCTTACATGCCAAGGAGATGACACAGGAGGGGCAAGCCCCAGAGGAAAAGGTGGGGTTAGAATAAATTAGAAAAGGTAGCTTTATCCCTTCAACCTTCCTTAGTGGTTCCTTGATTGTTTCCCATGACCCTCTTCTGGAATTTTGGGTGTACCTAACGTCTTCATGGTTCCTTATTAACTTCTTCAGGAAGGTAAAGTGACACACATCTGTTTCCCTTGCTCCTTGAAGCGCGCCAAGCCTATGCTTACTCCTTCAAGTTACAGTTGAAGTGTAAGGATCAGAAGAAAGATTACCGTAATATGTCTCTAAGATGTAGAGAGGACTCTTCTTGCCTTCTAAGTTTTTTTCCCCAAGGCTTCAGTTTTTCCTTTGTGCATGATGGGGAAGTTCTCTCATTCCCAATAGAGTCCGGGGGATTTGGCCTATTCAGGGTACAACTTCGAAGAACAAACTCAAAGAGGGGTTGAGAAGAAATTAAGCTGGACTCCTGCCTGATCCCCCGCTGTGGTAGGATGAATGTCGGGGTGGCACACAGCGAAGTGAACCCCAACACTCGAGTGATGAATAGCCGGGGCATCTGGCTGGCCTACATCATCTTGGTAGGACTGCTGCATGTGGTCCTACTCAGCATCCCCTTCTTCAGCATTCCTGTTGTCTGGACCCTGACCAACGTCATCCATAACTTGGTGAGCACTAAACCGTGACCTTTTACCCACCCCAGGCTTTTCCCAACCAAAAACAAAATAAAATCACCAATTATTTGGGGGTTTGTCTTCCTTTTGGGATCTTAGCATACTTCTTGGGCTGAAGGACTGCTTTCTGCCCCCCTCACACTACCCACTTCCCTCCTCCCAGGCTATGTATGTCTTCCTACATACGGTGAAAGGGACACCCTTTGAGACCCCTGACCAAGGAAAGGCTCGGCTACTGACACACTGGGAACAGATGGACTATGGGCTCCAATTTACCTCTTCCCGAAAATTCCTCAGCATCTCTCCCATTGTACTGTGAGTCCAGGGGGAGATACGGGAGATCCTTCAAAAGCCAGGTACAAAGGTCCACAGGGAATCTTTAAAAAAGCAGACTTCTACTCACTTAGACCCTGTGAAGATATGATATACTAGGTCTAAATCTAGAGAGAACAGTAAAAAGTAGAAGACAGTAATCAAGCATTACTTGCTGCCTCCTTGTTGGTAGGGGAATGGAGACGGGACTGAGAAAAGATAAAACACCAAGTTAAAGAAGTTATTTTACACTTCCAAAAGAAGTGAATAAATAAAGGCAGAACTGATGTGAATCTGTAAGAACTAACTGAGAAGTGGAAGCAGAAAGGATTCTAACAGTCATGCAGGCTGAAACTGCTTCAGCTGTCATTTGCCACCTGTCATTAACAATAAAAAAAAACGAATTTATAAATCTCCAGTTACAGGTGCTATCCGATTATCTCCCCAACCCCAAAGTAAATGCTGTTAATATAGCTGGAATATTTTCAGATATCCTAGGACTGCATGCAGTAAAACCGGTCATTTAAAATTGAAGAGAAAGTTGCTGGAAAGGCCTGAATATGGATGGGGAAGGCCAACTTCATTCAACCTATTTCTTCTCTCCCCAGCTACCTCCTGGCCAGCTTCTACACCAAGTATGATGCTGCTCATTTCCTCATCAACACAGCCTCACTGCTGAGTGTACTGCTGCCCAAGCTGCCCCAATTCCATGGGGTCCGTCTCTTTGGCATCAATAAATACTGAGGGATGGGGCTGGGGACATTGGAACAAAGGGCTGTAACATCCCTCCTTTTTCTATACTGTCTTCTATATCTTGAAAGCCTGAGAACTATGTTTCCCAAACTCCCAGTGGAAACTCAACTTCCCCAAATTTTCATTGGAAAATGGGGTTCCCTGGGCCCAGCCCTGCTAGGAGCAGGTTTCTTTGACTGAGGAAAGACACGTGAGGTAGGCGGCAAATCACTCTCCAGAGCAGGAAGCCATGTTGGGGCAGCTTTTTGGTTGATTAAGTTTTTCCATATCATCCACTCCCACCACCTTCCATCCAGCTCTGTTTTACTGTGTATTTTCCTTATAATAAAGATAAGTATTTTCAGATATGGCTACAGTTTGGTCAGCAGGAAGGGTAGGGAGATGTATTCATAAGGCTGGGGAAGAAAGATGCAATAATGACTTACAGAACTACAAAATTTCTCTAAGGTTTTTTTGTCCCTTCTCCCTTGGTCCAGTAGGAGGTGCCCTTCACCCTCAGCTAACACTTAGGAGGGAAAAGATTCTCAAATGAAAAAAAAAGGGCTCCAGCTATATGGGCAAAGAAGAGAGGGAAGATACAGGTTGCCAGTTATGTATTTATAGAAAGATAATCCCCTGGCTTTAAATAGATATATACATACAAATATGAACAAACTTAAAAAAATACAAACCCTTGGATCATAAGGGGGCTGCCGGGAGCCCCTCTATCCTTCCCCCTCACCCAAGGGCAGAGAGCGTGAATCTGTTTTTTAAAAATTATTAGTTTTGGCCATCCCTGCAGCAACAAGCACGAAGTTGGGTGAGAGTTCCCACTCTCTGAACTCTATGTATCTCCTATAATTAGGGTTACATGCTTTCTCGTTCTGTCATTTTACTAGTATATTGGGGCAAAGGAGGGGGCTCCCTCCTGAAATGGGTCAAGAAATAATACAGACACGTTTAAAAAGAGGGGGGAAAGTGTCATCTGCTGTAGAAGCAAAAGACAAGACAAAGGCATACAGATCCCAGGGAATTACCCAGTTCCCACACTACTATGGGAGATATCGTCCAGCCCAGGTCCAGGCCCTAGGTTCTTTGTTCTAGCCACCCCCTATTTCTTTGGTATTGTCAGAAGACAAGATTCAGTTCCTGGGTGCTGGTGGAGGAGGGAGAGTGGTTCCAGGGCTTCCTATAAGTACTGAGTGAACAATTTGAGCTTAAAAGTTTCCCTTTTTTAAATATTTAAAAATAAACAAATCAAACTCCATCCTGTGCTGTACACAGCCCTTTTGACTCCCTGACATTGATTTGAGGAAAGAGGGGGGGTGTCAACGTTGGAAAGGCCTCCTCACTTTCTTCCGCCGCTTCGGTTTGGCTTCTCCCTTGGGTACTGTGCTGTTGGGCTTGGAGGCTGCAGTGGCCCCAGGGCCCGGCTGAGGAGCTGCAAAGAAGTTCCCGTTGGACATCTGGCCTGGGGGTACTTGAAAGATCCGGCTCAAGAAATCCTGAAGGTCAGCAGGAGGGGCATCTGGGGTAGCTCTGACAGGAAAACAGAAGACATGATGAAGCAAGAGATACTGGAGTCAAATGGTTACCTATGTTACCTATTTATACCTATTTTAAAGATATACTGAGTCAGTTCCCAAGCTCCTTATAGGGTGAGACACCTACATGTCCTAAACAGCATGTCATGAAACCATGTTCAGAACTAGAATAGTGGATAGATTATTGAGAGGAATACCACCTACCTCTGCCGCCCACTGGTGCCTGGCATCCGTGAACCAAATGAGATGTGATAGGGGACTCTGTGGGTATCTGGGGAGATTCCCACACGCTGGCATCCAGCCCACTCTGCAAGCATGAGAGATAATTAGCCAAAATATCACAGTTTTGGCTGTGATATCACAGATGGGCTGGATATATGAGCCCATACTTCCAGAGGACAGAAGTATACCTGTGATGTCATACACCTTTCCATCCATCAGCGCAAAGTAGGTGATCTTGAGGCCCAGCATGCTTGACTCTGCCCAAAAGTCTCCTTCCTCAGCAGGATGCAGCCTATTACACTCAGCACAGTATCTGGCACTCTTAGGTTCCCGATCCATTTCAAACCTCCTGCAATCCAACAAAAGGGCAGTTCCTTAATCATCTATCAAGCTTACCTAGAGCACTGCTGTAGTCTCCATTACTGACATCTCATCATTACTGACAAATATGGTTACTGACTCAGTTGTTACAAATGCCTATGTACACCCTGCCCTCAACCTTCTATCTTAAAGCTAGAACTATTATCTTTTCTTCTTGCTAATTCAAATCCTCAGTCTCTTAACAATATAGCAAAAGTAGAAACCTCAGGGTCTTGTTACTTACCATTTGGATCCCACAACTACTGACAATACAAGGAAGGTTTTTAGCTACCCAATCCCTAAACTGTGGCTGTCCCACTCCTGTCCTATTTAAGTCATACCTATGCTTTCCCTGGCATCGGCTGCACATCATAGTATTCATTGCTTCTTTGAGGTCGTCCTGCAGCTTGGACAGAAACTCATTCACTGACCGGCTCAGCTCATTCTCTGCCATTCGCTTCCTGAGAGAAAAAAGGCTTTGTAAGTCAGAGAGTATTGCGTGAGGGACAAAGGGAGACAGATCTATTGGCTTCTTGAGGCCCCTGGCCAGCTAGACAAGCCACCTCAGTTCTCTCTGCCTCAGAGAGCCTCCATCCACAAGTCCAATGATCTCTGCTATTGAAGATTATTCATTTACCCCACCTGACAATTTCCTAGCTCCAACTTACATCTCATATTCCTTCCGTCTTTCAGGGTTGCTGACAATGTCCCAAGCTGCCCGCAAAACCTTGAAGGCCTCCTCAGCCCGAGGATGATTATTTTTGTCAGGATGAACCTACCAAAACACAGATTTCATCACATATCCATTCCAACCCTCTCCCCATTTTGGGTCAAAATAACCTCATATCAAAGGGTTCTCCTTCGGGGTCTTCCCTGGTGGCGCAGTGGTTGAGAGTCCGCCTGCCGATGCAGGGGACATGGGTTCATGACCCGGTCCGGGAAGATCCCACATGCTGTGGAGTGGCTAGTCCCGTGCACCATGGCCACTGAGCCTGTGCATCCGGAGCCTGTGCTCCGCAAAGGGAGAGGCCACAACAGTGAGAGGCCCGCGTACCGCAAAAAAAAAAAAAAAAAAAAAGGGTTCTCCTTCACCATCTTTTTGAAGAGTCAATATAGCTTAATGGTTAATTGCTGTGGCTCTGCAGACAGATCTGGGTTTAAGTCCCACCTCTGTCACTTATTAGCTGTATGACGTAGAATATTTTATCTATCATGGATTGTTGGGAGTATTAAATGAGAAAACACATGAAGCATATGGCACAGAATCTGGCACTATGGCGATCTGCCATCCCAGTGTGCCTGGGATTGTCCCAGTTTTAGCACTGAAATTTCATGTCTCAGGAAACCTTTCAATCCCAGGCAAGCAGGGATGGTTGGTTTAGTATGTGTGTGACTACCTGGCACACACGTACTAAACCCTCATATTTTAACTTTACTGTCAGTCATAAAGTTAAGAGTTCCAACGTACTCAAACTCTATTTTCTAACTAGGAAATTCTCATATATACTCAAAACTTCCTACAGTAGTTTGCCTTTCTGTCCCAGGAGTGAAATATTGATAACATACCACGATCCTCACAGGCTTTTTATCCACTTTTCAGCCTTTTCTCCAAGACAAATAATATCCTCACTTCCTACAGCTTCCTGATTGTTCCCATCCACATACACCAAAAACAGAGATAAAGCTAGTCTCTTGACTGAGGCCAAATAAACAGAATGCTATTAAATCTCTCACATTCCCAAACTTATAGAATGTGGGTAATGGTCAATTTAGGGCCTATTAAAGGCAGTGAGAGGTTGTATAAAAGAAGCCCACAGGGACTTGCCTGGTGGTCCAGTGGTTAAGACTCTGCGCTTTCAACGCAAGGGGGCGCGGGTTCAATCGCTGGTCGGGGAACTAAGATGCCGCATGCCATGTGGCACGGTCAAAAAAAGAAGCCCACAGATACTGTGGCCCAGAACAAGAGGGAGAACTTTGGATAGTAGGGCAGGTCTACTGAGGATCAGGGAACTTCACTACAGCTCTATTTCAAGAAAGTAAGTTGAAAATGAGAATTTTTGAATGATACTCCCCAAGAGAGGATGTCTGCTAAGACATAAAGGTGAGAAAAGAACTCTACCATTAGTAACAATTTGAGTGTGAACACTGTTCCCCACTCTCAGAATAGCCCAGGCCATCCACTAAGGGGCATACATTTCCCACCAAACTATTGATAATTTAGTCCTCTGGTAAGTTACAGGCCTGGTACTTTATTGTGCCTTGAATGGTTAATGGAAACTTTGGTTGCCCATTCCCCTTTAGTGTCATGCAACCATTGAGATAATTTACACACTGTGATATTTTACCAGTCAAGTTCCATACACTCAAATAGGCCTCCAATGCAATTTACACACACTACTTACATTCATAATAGCTTTACTTGTATAGAAATAGCATATCTAAAAATAGCATCTGAATAGTTACTTCTTTTCTTTTTTTTTTGTTTTTTTAAGATGCTGGGGGTAGGAGTTTATTAATTAATTTATTTTTGCTGTGTTGGGTCTTCATTTCTATGCAAGGGCTTTCCCTAGTTGTGGCAAGCGGGGGCCACTCTTCATCGCGGTGCGTGGGCCTCTCACTATCGTGGCCTCTCCTGTTGCGGAGCACAGGCTCCAGACGCGCAGGCCCAGTAGCTGTGGCTCACGGGCCCAGTCGCTCCATGGCATGTGGGATCCTCCCGGACCAGGGCTCGAACCCGTGTCCCCTGTACCGGCAGGCAGATTCCCAACCACTGCGCCACCAGGGAAGTCCCTGAATAGCTATTTCTGAAAGCAATTTGATTGCATGCTTGTATTAAACCATTTCCCTCGAGCATGATAAGTCACAACTCCCACCTATACCCGCTTACCAGTAAAAGCAACCATATTTTCATGTATGACCTGAAAATGTATGTACATGCCTCTCCAAGATTTATGTCCCATTCTCCTTTCCTTTCCCACTCTGGGTTGTTGGTCTTGAAACAGCTGTTTTCTCTCACCTGGTCCTGGAATAATCACTCACATGTACTCCCTGAACGTTCCCACACTAGTCCACACTTGCCTCACTGCGACAGACAGTTGGATTTCCCTGTATTCAAAAAACCCTCATTTGTTTAGGAGAGAAGAACTGCCAGGCTTTCTGACTAGGTCTCTTCTCCACCCTACTCAGGATTTCACCTGGATATTCCAGATGAGTGAGTCCAACACTGTCTAATACACCAGGTT